TCCCTGTGCTCAGCTCCCTTGCATGGGATGTGCTGGCCATGCTCTTCAGGGTGCTCTTTGCCATCATGGCACTGGCCTTCCTACCATACAGCTACAAGCACCACAGTCAGAATGCACGGTGAGTGACAGGGAGCTGCAGGAGGGGCCCCAGGGGGTGGCAGGGGTCAGTCTGGGACATGAGAAGGGGGTGCTCTCAGGCAGCAACATGGATTAGCAAGGCCCCTCTGCCTGCTCTAACACCACACACACCCCCCCTTCCTCCCCCACCAGGCTCGACTCTCCGACCAAAGGTCATCTACACAGCAGCCACCACCGACAATACTGTGTGAGCCCCATGCCTCGGAAGAGGTCCTGGCCCTGCTAGCTCAGCCTGTCCCACCCCATCTCCCCTCACTCCTGCCCCAGGCTGAGGGAGGGCCAGTGCTCCAGCATCCCTTGGCCACACAGGTTGCTCACATGAAGTGTTTGCCTGGGGCAGCATCTGGCCTCAGCAGATATTTTTGTTATTAAAAAAAAAAAAAAGGTTAAAATATATTTAAAAAAAAGAAAGAGTAAGTCTCTCATGGTGCCAGCTGTCTCTGCAGTCCTAGTCTGAAGCTGCAGGGCAGGAACAGGTACTGGTGGAGCTGAACTCACAGCAGAGGGGTGCACAGGGACCCCTTCCCAACCGGCAGACGGCATCAGCCTCTGTGCCCTGGGCAGAGCAAGCAGCAGAGAGCTCCTTGCACAGCCTGGCCCTGCCCTCTGTCTCTCTGGGACTTCTTCCTCCTCTTATTTGTGCAAAGTGTTGGAAAAACATAGCTGTGGCTTGGTAGGACTGGAGAAAGGCAGAGCTGAATGTTGGCAGAGCCACAGCTTCCTTGCTGGCTGGCCCCCACCCAGCTCCCCTCCAGCTCTGAAATAGCTGGAGCAGTTCCTGACACATGGCTGCCTCCCACCTTTCCTGGTAGCTCTAGCACAGCCAGAGACAAGCCCTGGGGAAAAGTGTTGGAAAAACATAGCTGTGGCTTGGTAGGACTGGAGAAAGGCAGAGCTGAATGTTGGCAGAGCCACAGCTTCCTTGCTGGCTGGCCCCCACCCAGCTCCCCTCCAGCTCTGAAATAGCTGGAGCAGTTCCTGACACATGGCTGCCTCCCACCTTTCCTGGTAGCTCTAGCACAGCCAGAGACAAGCCCTGGGGAGTTCCACAGCCCCACCGAAGCCAAGAGAAATGGGCTGGACCTGGGAGAGGGGAGGAACCTGCAGGTCTCTAGCTCTCAGCAGCCTCCACCTCAAAGTGGTAAAACCAGAGGTGGACAGAGCAGGAACAAGACCTTCAGGCAACTGGGGTCTGTAACTGCCAGACACCCCCTGTGGTCACACCAGCAACCAGCCACTGCCACCAGCAGTGGCACACACACACCCCCACTCACCTATGGTACTTCTTTTTATTGGTATAAAAGCCCACTGTGGACTTCTCAGCCCTGAGCCTGATGGCAGTTTCTCCCTCCCAGCCCTGTGGCACAGCATCAGGGCTGGTGCCTGCCTGAAAATCCCCCTCCGAAGGCAGAAGGCAATGATCCACTGGCATGGCACCCTGAACCCCCCCTCCCCAAGCTGTGCTTGCACCAGTTGCAGGGTTGCATCTCCTCCCGAGCCCTCTGCCACCCTCCACATGGCACTGTCTTGTCCTGTCCTCGAGGCTATCAGCCCCCTTGTGTCCCCCAGTACCGGTGACTGCTCCCAACACACCATCCCTTCCCTGCCTATCCCTTCCCATGCTGGGATGCCAGCTCACTGCAGTTACCGCAGTCCAGCGTGGGGAGCCGTGGCTCCCAGGGCAGCGAGGCTGGGCTAAGAGGCTGAGAAAGCAGCACCATAGCGGCCAGCCCCGGCCCAGAGCCCAGCAGCACTTTGCAAAGCCACTTACTCCACCCTGCGGTGAGGAGGCGGCATGGTTTTCCCCTGCCCTGGCACAGGAGACAGCACATCTCCTGCGGCAGGGGGAGAAGCAATGGATTTCTTTGGGCTCAGGCCTCCGGCAGTCCAAGGTAACATCCTTCCCAGGAAATCTAACTGGGGCTCCGCTCACGGCAGGGCCAGCAAAGCAGAGTCCCCCAAAACTGAGCTGTTCTCTAAGGGCTCCCAAAGGGGTGGCAGAGCAAGCC